ACTGTACTGTGATAAGAATATGTTACTTTTCTCCTTGGTATATAGAATTATCACCTCCAATTGTTTACTGTGATTAGGACGAGTGCAAAAAAATACTGTGGAGTTTAATGTAGGAAGCTGAACCTTCAGTTTGGAGTCGGAGAACCTAGGCTCTTGACTCAGCTCTGTGGCTTGTTACTCAATCTTAGGCAAGTCACTTCACCTTTCCTGACCTTATTTTCCTTATGTGTAAAATGAGCTGAGGTGGAGTGGAGGAGCACTGGTCAAAGTTGCTGAGTAGACTGAGGGAATATCAGTATGTATTTTGAAGTCTCCTAGTATGAGGGCATGAGTTGGGGTGGAGGAGAGGCTGTAAGAGTCAGCCACTGAATTCTTTGAGAAAGCTGAGGAAATGATCTGGATGACCACTAAATGATGGAGGGAATGATGACCACTAAACAGCAAGTCCTTATATTCTTATACTTATAATTTTAGTGTTGTAAAAGTATTGTTGTAAAAATAAATATTTACTAAGTACTTGTTATAGGAACTGTAAAGTGCTAGAAATACAAAAAGAGGCAAAAGGCAGTCCCTGTCCTCAAGAAGCCCACAATCTAATGGAGACAACAAGCAAACAAATAAGTACAAACTATATAAGGAAAAATAGGAAATGATTAATAGAGGGAAGGCATGAGAATTGAGAGGGGTTGGAAGAAGCTTCCTGAAGAGGTAAGATTTTAGTTGGGACTTAAAGGAAGCCAGAGAAACCATTAGATAGATGAGGAAAGAGAGCAAGCACTTATAGGGGACAGCCTGAGAAAATGCCCAGAACTGAAGATGGAATGGCTTGTTTGTGGAATGGTCAGGAGGCTGGTGTCATTGGCTTAAAGAGTGTATGGCAGGGAGTAAGGTATAAAAAAGACTGGAAAGGGGCAGCTAGGTGGCGCAGTGGATAGATCACTGGCCATGAAGTCAGGAGGACCTGAGTTCAAATCTGGCCTCAGACCAAACACTTGACACTTACTAGCTATGTGACCCTGGGCAAGTCACTTAACCCCAATTGCCTAAAAGAAGAAAAAAAAGACTGGAAAGTTAGGAGTGGACTAGGTTTTAAAGGGTTTTGTTGAATGCCAAACAACATTTTGTATTTGATCCTGGAGGTAATAGGGAGCCATTGGTAGTTTATTGAGTAAGGGGGTGACATAACTGGACCTGGATTTTAGGTAAATCACTTTAGTGTTTTTTGTAAGAATTAGAAATTGCCAGAGTTTTTACAGTTTGCAAACTCAGTACTTTCTCATAAATTCTGGTCTGGTGAATATAAGTTCTTAAAATAACTAGCAAAGCCCACTTAAGCCAAATTGCTTGACTTGTGGTGTCCTGGATGCCAAGAAGTCTGGAGGAGAGACTAGACTTGGAATCAGAAGATTTGGTTTCAAAGTCCCAGCACTGGTATTTAGGTAATAGAACTGAGAATCGGAGTGATCTTAGAGATCATCTAGCACAGGGTTTCTTAACTTTTCTTGTGTCACAGAGCCTTTGTGAAGTCTGGGGAAGCCTGTGTTTTTAGATGTATACTTAGTATTACAAAGGAAACCAATTATATTGAATTATAGTTATCAAAATATAAAAATTCATGGACCCCAGTTTAAAGTATCTGAAACTAACCTGTCTTTTTTTCCACATGAGAAAATCAAGTCAAGAGAAACTTAAAGAATTTGCCCAAAGTTATAGGTAATAAGTACTAGAGTAAGAGTTTAAACTCAAGCCTTGGGTACCAAAGCCATTTCTTTCCACTGTATCACACTAATGTCTGTCTGAGTGATTTTGGACAGTCACTTTACCTCTCTCTTAATTTTGTCATCTATAAAATAAAGAGTTTGGATCTGAAGGTCACTAATGACCCCTTCCAACTTTGACATTTTGTGATTCTGTAAGATGAGTGATTTGGTTTAAGATAGGAGCTTCATGAATTAATCTTTTAAAAAATGTTTGGGGGAGGCAGAGCCAAGATGGCAGAGTAAAAGCAATGACTTGCTTGAGCTCTCCCCCAAACCCCGCCAAATACCTGTAAAAAATGGTTCTAAACAAATTCTAAAGCATCAGAACCCACAAAAAGACAGAGTGAAACAAATTTCCAGCCCAAGACAACCTGGATGGTTAATTGGAAAGGTATATTGCCCCAGGTGGGGAGAGGAACAAAGTATGGCATGTCTGCACAGCAAAACAGGCCTCAGCGAACATGGAGCAGCCCTCAGAGGACTGAATTCCAGGCAGCTGTGGTGGTTTCCAGTCTCAACCCCCAAATGCCAAAGACATCTTAGAAGGTCAGTAGGAAAAGTCTGTGACTGCGGTGAGAGAGATGCTGGGTCCCAGCCCCTGAGCACGGCCCTTGGGCGGCGGCTGCTTCCAGCGCTTCTGACCCACAGACTGAGGGGGAATCGAGTGATTGATCAGAGGGACATTGCAGGGATCTCTTTGCAGGATTCTCTTGCTTTGCCTGTACTTTGCCTGGGTGACAGTTCTAGGTGATGATCCTGGGGCAAGGAGGAGTGCTGGCATGATGGAGCTTGTAGTGGTGGTAGAGAGGAAGTCCTCCTCACAGTTCCAAGGCAGAAAAGAGTGCTTGTGGTCACTCATAGACCAGAGCACAGGCCAGGAAAGGAGTAAACACCTTGCCCTTGATCATAGCACCTTGGAAGAACTGAAAATTTACAAGTCCCTAGACGTATCTCTGAAAACAGCTGCACAAAACTCCTGAAGCTTGGGATAGTACATTTTCTACACTGGAAGCAGACCCCTACCTTAACAAAGAGTTTATAACTCAAGTAATTGGCTGGGATCATGAGCAAACTTCACAAAAAAAGTCAGACCATAGAATCTTTCTTTGGTGACAAAGAGGATCAAAACATACAACCAGAAGAAGACAACAAAGTCAAAGCTCCTACATCTAAAGGCTTCAAGAAAAATATGAATTGGCCCCAGGCCATGGAAGAGCTCAAAAAGGATTTTGAGAAGCAAGTAAGAGAAGTAGAGGAAAAACTGGGAAGAGAAATGAGAGTGATGCAAGAAAATCATGAGAACAAATCAACAGCTTGCTAAAGGAGACCCAAAAAAATACTGAAGAAAATAACACCTTAAAAAATAGCCTAACCCAAATGGCAAAAGAGGTCCAAAAAGCCAGTGAGGAGAAGAATGCCTTAAAAAGCAAAATTGGCCAAATGGAAAAGGAAGTCCAAAAGCTTACTGAAGAAAATACTTCCTTAAAAATTAGAATGGAGCAATTGGAAGCTAGTGACTTTAAAAATTATTGGACCATCTGAAAGCCATGATCAAAAAAAGAGACTGGACATCAAGGAAAATTGCCCTGATATTTTAGAACCAGAGGCTAAAATAGAAATTGAAAGAATTCACCAATCACCTCCTGAAAGAGAGCCCCAAAGGAAAACTCCTGGGAATATTATAGCCAAATTCTACAGTTCCCAGGTCAATGAGAAAATATTGCAGGCAGCCAGAAAGAAACAATTCAAGTATTGTGGAAATACAATCAGGATAACACAAGATTTAGCAGTTTCTACATTAAGGGACTAGAGGGCTTAGAATATAATATTCCGGAGGTCAGAGAGATAGGATTACAACCAAGAATCACCTACCCAGCAAAACTGAGTATAATCCTTCAGGGGAAAAAATGGACATTCAGTGAAATAGAGGGCTTTCAAGCATTCTTGATGAAAAGACCAGAGCTGAATAGAAAATTTGACTTTCAAATACAAGACTCAAGTGAAACATGAAGAGGTGAACAGGAAAGAGAAATCATAAGAACTTATTAAGATTGAACTGTTTATATTCCTGCATGTAAAGATGATGCTTGTAACTCATGAGACCTTTGTCAGTATTAGGGTAGTTGGAAGGAAAAAAATTATATGTATGAATATATAGAGATAGATAAATAGAGGGCACAGGGTGAGTTGAAGGTGAAGGGGTGATGTCTAGAGAATAAAATTAAGGGGTGAGAGAGGATTATATTGGAAGAAGGAGAAAGGGAGAGGTAGAATGGGGTAAATTATCTCACATAAAACAGACAAGAAAAGGCTTTTACAGTGGAGGGAAAGTGGGGGAAGGTGAGAGGGAATGAGTGAATCTTATTCTCATCGTATTTGTCTTAAGGAGGGAATAACATACACACTCAATTGGGTATGGGAATCTGAAAATCGAGGGGGGCAAGAGAGCAAGAGGGATGATAAAGGGGAGGGCAGATTGGGGGAGGGGGTAATCAGAAGCAAGCACTTCTAAGGAGGGACAGGGTCAAAAGAGAGAATAGAATAAAGGGAGGGGCAGGATAGGATGAAGGGAAATATAATGACTACTCTGGAAGTGTTGTGGATAATGTATAACCTGTATCAAGTTGCTTGTCTTGTCAATGAGGGTGGGTGAGGAGGGAGGAAGGGAGAAAATTTGGAACCCAAAGTTTTGAAAACAAATGTTTAAAAAAAAATTATTTTCACAAAGAACTGGGAAATAAGATATACAGGCAATGGGGTGTAGAAATCTATCCTGCCCTATAGGAAAATTGAAGGGGAAGGGGATAAGAGAAGGGGAGGAGAGATAGAAGGGAGGGCAGATTAGGGGAAGGGGTATTCAGAATGTATGCCATCTTGGGGTGGGGGGAAGGATAAGATGGGGAGAAAATTTGGAACTCAAAATCTTGTGGAAGTGAATGTTGAAAACTAAAAATAAATAAATTAATTTTTTAAAAAAAAGAAAAATGGGAAATTCCTTTTTGTATTCACAGTACAGTTATTTCTGGACATTTTCATCTCCCTAATATTAAATGATACAACACTTTGCAACTACTGCCACTAACTTGGTAAAAGAGTGTACTTTTCAGAATTTCTCTGTCTTTCTTGACTGCACCTTTAGTGGTATGGAAGGCTATGTGCTTTGCTTTTGTCCATTTGGTGATTTCTTTGGCCTTGAAAGAAGTCTTCTTAAGAACAATTTTTCCTTTCTTTTTTTTTTAGCTGTGGCAGAAGTAAAGCTTAGAGATGATCAGTATACACTGGACCACATGCGTGCCTTTGGCATGTTTAATTACCTGCATTGTGATTCATGGAATCAAGATAATATCTACTTTGTCGATCAGCTTGGAAGAATTATGAACTTAACAGTTACACTGGTAAGAATAAAGTCATTGAAAAGGAGAAATTAGACACATTTATATAGTAATCATTCAATCAGTGAACATTTATTAAATGCCTACTATGTACCAGGCACTGTCCCATGCACTGGGGATGCAAAAAGAGACAAAAGACAGTCTCTCCCCTCAAGGAGCTTATCATCTATCAACCAGTGGGATTCTGTACTTTTTATAGCCCCTCTAGAATGTTCAAGTATCAAATCTGGTACCAAGCCTTATAAAAATAAGGCCCTGGAAGAAGGGGTATCTCAGATCATGAGGAAGATCTCGGTCCACTTCCTTAGAGGGGACCATGAACCCTTTAATAAAGTATCATTGGCTCAGAGCTCTGCCTCAGTCTCTTATTATAGGTTGGACAATTTTAATCTCCACAGAGATACTGGAATCATTTGTCATTTCCTTCTTCAGCTCATTTTCCAGATTAGGATACTGAGGCCAATGGGTTTAGGAGACTTGCCCGGGTCACACAGCTTAGTAAGTGCCTGAGGCCAGATTTGAACTCAGGTCTTCCTGACTCCAGGCTTTGCAACCTATCCACTACATACCTAGCTGCCCTATATCTGGAGTACCTAAGAGATATGTCATTATGGACTAAATTAGTGGGGGTGCCTCTTCAACTGTAGAGAAAGGCACATTAAAACAACTCTGAGGTACCACCTCACACCTTTGAGATTGGCTAATATGACTATATTGGCTAATAGAAAAAAGGAAAATGTTGGATGTTGGAGGAGATATGGGAAAACTGGAACACTAATGCACTGTTGTTGGAGTTGTGAACTGATCCAGCCATTCTGGAGAGCAATTTGAAACTATGCCCAAAGGACTATAAAACTGTGCATACCCTTTGATCCAGCAATACTTCTGCGAGGTTTATATCCCAAAGACATCCCAAAAAAGAGAAAAGGACTTATTTGTACAAAAATATTTATGGCAGTTCTTTTTGTGTTGGCTAAGAATTGGAAATCAAAGGGATGCCCATCAGTTGGGGAATGGCTAAACAAGCTGTGTGATATGATTGTAATGGAATATTGTTGTGCTATAAGAAATGACAAACAGGATGATTTCAGAAAAACCTGGAAAGACTTACATGAACTGATGCATAGTGAAGTGAACAGAACCAGGAGAACTTTGTACTCAGTAAAAGTGATACTGTGTTCAATGAAGAATTGTGAATGACTTAGCTATTTACTTAGCTATTCTCAGTAATACAATGATCTCAGACAATCCCAAAGGACTAATGATAGAGCATACTATCTGCTTCCATAGAAAGAACTGATATTGATTGAGTATAGACTGAAACATGCTATTTTTTCACTTTCTTTCATTTTCTTTTTTTTTATTTGAGTCTTGTACAAAATGACTAATATGGAAATGTTTTACTTAATTGCACATGTATAACCTATATCTGATTGCTTACTGTCTCGGAGGGGAAGAAGGAAGGGATAGAATTTGGAACTCAAAACTTTAAATAAAAATGTTTAAAAATGGAAAAAAATGAGAAGCAAAAATATATTTTTTAAGAAATTATCCTCTGTAGAAAAATTTTATTGATACTTTTATTTTTTCCTACCAGCTCTTCAATTTTACTTTTAAATATTATTCTGTAATCCTGTGTTATAAAAATTCATATTAATCTTAAAACATATTATTGACACAATAATACAGAGGTACTATGTTGTAGAGGTTAGAACCAGCCTCATAGTTAAAAATATCTGGGTTCACGTCCCACTTCTTGGCTTTTTGTGCTTTTGGGCAAATCACGTGACGTCTTGATGACTCCATTTAATTCTGTTAAGACTCCTTTTAAGTTGCAGTGCAGCTGATGTACAGTGATGTACACTGATAAGGGAAGTTTCATCACTAGGAACTCCCTGTGCCAGGGAATCATGGGTTTGTTTAAAACAAAGCAAATCACACCCCTCCTCCCATATACATACACACAATACACATACATATATATACACAAATGATGGGTATTCAAAAGTTGTCCTTAGTTTTAAGATACTAAAAATTGTGTGTGTATGGAGGGATGGCGTATTGTGTCATTAGTGGTAATCTGGTCAAACCTTCTCCTTTAAGAACTAAAACTCTTTTCCCCTAGCCATTTTTGATGGATGTAAATATTTCTAAAATGTATTAATATTTCACTTCATCCTCAAATAGAGTACGATGGGCATAATTCAACCTTTTCTTGATTATTTTGTCTTCCCATTATGAATAGCAGTTACATATAGCGTGATACCTTACTGATTTTATTTCAGAAGTTCCTTGTATATCTTGAACTCTGTGATTATCTATGTTGCTGTCATTTTACTATCTTATTCCAGTAAGGCTCATTCTACCCCAAAGTAGAAGCCCATAATATATAATGTAATTGGATAACTGAGTAGTTATAGATTATGGTTCATCACTGTTTGTTCTAGAATTATACATGCATTTGGACAGCTAGATGTCACTAGTGTTCCTCTGGTAGCTCATATTGTAAATTTTAATTTGCAAAGTAGATTCACATATATTATTGCCCTTTGCCCCTCATAAAATCTCTGTGAGGTAGATAGTAGTATTCTCATTTTATAGATGAAGAAACAGAGGACATCACACCATTTTCACAAACAGTAAGGGAAGGGAATTTTCATTATCCCCTATTTTAAGGGTCAGAGGGTAAGCAAGATGCTATTAGATGCTATTCGCTATTAGTTATTATAGTGGACCAAGGAAACTAGTTTGCAAAGCAACAGTAGACTCATGGTGTATTTAAAAGAAAACAAATGTGGTATAGAATGCCAGTTCTAATTTTATATTGACAGGAGACCCTAGTACACAAAAGTTCTTCACTCTTCCCTTACCCAGATAAAGCTCCTATCTCAGGTTATAGGGCCCAACACTGATGATAATGAGTATTCCATATGTTAGGACTACATCAGAGGAAAGATAAATTTCTAGCATTCCAAGTTGCAACTCTGAATATATTTTCCTCTAGAACATTGTGATTGGGTCCCTTGGCATTGTTAGTATAGTACTGAACTTAATGCAGATCATGAGTTACATAGGTTTTGTGGTCTATTATGAGAACATAACGGTCACGTATAACATTGTTTCTATGGATTTATTCATTTTCAGTTTCAAACAAATTTGCAAATGTACTTTTGGAATATAACCTTTTTGTAAGTAGATGACTACTGATACTGTTGACACCTTGGGTACAAGGACTTATTTATAATACTGCTAATAATTGACATTTATTTGTTAACCTTTAAAGTTTGCAAAGCACTTTACATACGGTTTTACATTTGATACTGTGACCCTGGGAACAGGGCAGTAGAAGAATGATTAATACCTTTTTATAGCTGAGGAAGCTCAGACAGGTTAAGTGACTAGGCTATGTTCACATAGCTAGAAAGCATCAGAATCTGTAAATGTTTGTTAGTCATCCTGATTAATTTGTACTTTCTAATATAGATCTATTTGGTCCCAAAAGGCAGGCTGGAGCTTGTCTTGCATTTATTTTCAATCTGTAGTTTTATAGTTCTTTGTTTCTAATTAAAATAGTACTTAGCTCAAATCAGTTTTCTTCCCCCTTAATATAGCATATCCTAAACACTAGATCTAAAATATTAATAGGTAATTGAAGGGTGAGGAGGTCTTCTTGGTGAAGGACTAGTAATCAGAGACTGCTATTTTCTTACTAAGCTGCCCAATGCATTTGAAAGACCATATTCTATTTGTATTCTTTCCCTCAGATTTGATAGTTTATATTCATAAATAGTATAATAGTAACTGATAGATTTTTTTATACCTCTTTGTAGGATGTACAAATACAGTTTGAAATCTTAGAAGGGGAATATGCATAACATTCATCTTAGCCAGGTAGTCAGTTTCCTGATATAGACACTTGTCTTATTAAATAAAAATGTTAATGATCTTAATGATTAAAGCGTGTCTGTACTCGGGAAGAGAATAAATATTTTTATATAGCACCTACTATGTGCCAGGCACTGTGCTAAATTCATTATTGTCTCATTCAATCCTCACAACATGTGAGGCAGGTGCTATTATTATCCCCATTTTATAGTTGAAGAAACTGAGACAGGTTAAAGACTTGTCCTGGATCACACAGCTAGTAAGTATCTGAGGCTGCATTTGAATTCAGGTCTTCCTCGCTTCAAGCTCCCCGTACGTTCTATCCACTGCATTACCTATTTATCCACGACTGTCCCTTTAATTATGATATTTTGAGGGATTGTTGATTTCACTGGTGTAAATGCTTTCTTCCCCCAGTACAGATAAGAAGCCCTTCAAACTTCCTCTTTCTGTGTGATTTTCATCTTTGTACTTCAGTAAATTAATTATCCACTTTGCCCAGTGCACAGAATATGACTTTCTCTGATTCTTTTAATATCTTGAGCTTACTAGTGTAGCATATTTGAGTTGTCTTTCCATGGTCTTGCTTAGCTATCTAACTGATCCACCCAATTTTCTACATGTCTGATGGTTTTCATTCAGCTTCTGATATACAAACCTAATACTGTGCTGAAGCCATTTGGATCATCTTCAGTGTTGATTTTTTTGAGATTGTGATGTTCCATGATTTGCAGCCATATGATGTCATTGGAAAAATACTCATTTTTAAAAGGTGGTCTTTTTTAGTATTGCAGCGCTTAGCATCAGTCAGAGTTTCATGCAGTTTCCTAAATGCAATCTAGTCCTAAGACCTAAATGATAGGAGCCCAGAGTTTGAGTTAGGAAGAATTAGGTTCAAATCCTGCTTCACATACTTATTAGCTGTGTGACCTTGAGTGAGTCATTTAACTCTCCATGCCTTAGTTTCCTCATATTTTAAATGAAGGAATTAAACTTAACAGCCTCTAGGGCCCTTCCTGCTCTAAATCTGTGTTCCTGTGATTTCTAGTAGACTCCACACTTAATGTAATTCAGCACTGTGATCTGTAAGTTAGAAAAGCTGTGATATTAGATTGAATTGAATTGAGAGAACTGTTTCATTACTGTGTACTTAGGCAATTAAATTTACCTTGAATTACAGCATCTAATTCCACATTCTAGCAGTACCATTATATTCCCATTCTTTCTGTCTTTAGACTGCAGGATTTCAGCTGATTGCTAACAGGTTACAGTTAATTAATGAGGAAAACCAAGGTTGGTGAAGTGGTGTGGAGAAGAGGAGGAAACTAATGTTTTACTTGTAGAGGAGAAAAAAGAAAGGACATAAAAATTCTAATGATTATGCGCTTTAATTTTTTGTTGATGCCTTTGTGTTTCATAAAAAAATTACTAAAAATTGTACACAAGATAAAAATAGATTTTATTAAGCTTCTGAGATTTGTTTTTAAAGGAAAAAAAGTATTAATAGTCATACAGCCAAATAAAAGCACTGCTGAGAGCCTTTCCTCAGAACAAATTGCTTATTTTAAAAAGGCGGAAATGTCTACTTTGATTTCCACTTATTATGGTTGATTGTGTTTTTTTTTTCTTTCTGACTACATATATATATATGTATTTTAAATTAAACTAACAGATTAAAGGTGAATGGATCTGCTTAAGGCTCTGCAAATAGAGATAAGCATTAAGATTAAGACTATTTTATTCAACATTGAAATCTTGTCCAAGTTGCTCAGCAGATCCATCTATTGAAAAACATTTATAATTGACATATTTAAAATATATTTCTTTATAAATATTGATTTATCATATATTGCTATTATTGTTAGTTACCTTTATAGTAGTTTTAGTATTTTTCTACACAATTAAAGGCTTTCACATAGTTAAAATTGCTAAAATATACTAATTTATTATATATTAAATGTAATTGGCCAGCTTGGGGAGAATTCACTTGAGTAGTTAAGTTTTTTGTGTTAGAAATTTGTCTTTGATACTTTGAATATATAATTTTATGACCGTGAATATTCCTTTTATGAAAGTAGATACATCTTGCAATCCTCAAAAGTCTTTTGATGTATGATTCTTGTTTATATATTACACTAGCCTTGCATAGGAAAACTTGGTATGTTTTCTAAAGTTCCAGAAACATAAAACAAAAAAACCCACTGCTTCTGTTTATTAGAGGAAAGATAGCTGAATCAAATTCTAGAATTTTAAATGCCTATAAGTCATCTATGGAGAGTTCTTCTGAAGATATTAAACTGATTGTAATATTGGTGCATTAATTGCCCTGGATAATGAGAAACTATTTTATGTATTTCATGTGTAGAAATGAAAGAGAATGAGTAACTATCTGTTGTGGAATATAAAGAAAAGGAGATAAGATTCCTGTCCGGTTTTTGAAGTCTATCTGTATTATATAATTTAGGCAGAGATTTCAGTAACTTAGAGAACCCACAATCACAGATTACTTATCTAGTATGTTCCTCCATAATTAAGGGGACAGATAGCTTTGCTTCTAGTTTATTCAAATGTCTAAAGGAGAATAAAATGTTGATTTTGGGTTTATTAAGTATGTGTGTAATATATATCTATATATTAAATTTATGTATTACATACATCCTATGTATAATGTATAATGTGTAATGAGACTACCTGATGTTAGTGGATGGAAAGCTGGCCTCAAGATAAGTCGACTAAGGTTCAGGGTTTAGTTACTTAACTTCTTAATGCTCCAAACAATTGATAGAGAGGTTGTCTGAGGTGCATTGGTAGAACAAATTTCCTTACCAGAAGCCCCCTACACCAGTGAAATCACAGCTCTAGGTTAAAAAAAAAATAAGTATTTAATATAGTTTAGAGATATTCTATCATAAGTGGTTAATTTTTTTTTTTAAATTAAATGTTGTAATTGACAAGATTCGGGCATTTAGAAGATTTATTTATATAGAACACCTCCTTCCTTGACAGATGGATAAATGAGACTTTTTTTCTCCCTCCACAATAGCAGAGGCAGTGATACTGATTTATAGTTGTATTCATGTCATTGATTCAGGTGTGCCATTAATAGTCAATAGTGAAGTTGCTAAGAGTGTCTTTGTTGGTCATTCGTTATGTACTTGAGGGCCAAAAAAGTCGCTTAACTCAATGTAATTAGTAGTTAGGCACGTATGATTAGATTAGTAAAGATTAAAGATGTATTGGGGTGGGAGAAGTAAAAACATGGACCAGTGCTTATGCTTGGTGGTTTAGATAACCTGCCAAATTATATCTTGAACTGAAAGAAATGGTTGATGCTGTTGGATCAATCAACACATTTATTAAGCACCTCTTATAGGTTAGGCACTGGATATACAAAGGCAAAAGGTGAACCAGGCCTGGCTCTTTAGGAGCTTATATGCTATGACAAGTGAAGCAGCAGGTACCCAGAGGGTGTTCTGATGTGTTTAAGATATTAAAGCTTAAAACTTCACCAAGACTTTTAGGATCTCATGTATATAAGCATATACGGAATAAATATAATAGTTAAGGAAGGAGTACATTCCTAGTATGGTGGGGGCTGGGGATGAGAGTGGGGACCAGGGTAAAGTCCAAAATCTTGGTTCCAGTGCATGGAGTGTCTTATGAGCAGAACAGCAAGAAGGCCACCTTGGTAGCATGCAGAAGCATGGAAAGAGTAGTGATGATTGGCTGTAAAGGTTTAGGCCAAGGTGAAAGGCTTTAAAAGCAAAACATGATTTTGCATTTGATCTTAGAGCAATAGGGAGCCACTGGAGTTTATTTAGTAGAGCAGTGACATGGTCAGATCATAAGAAAAATCGTTTTGTCAGATATATAGAGTGTGTTTTAGTAGAGGGAAAGACTTTAGTCAGGGAAACCAATTTTAAATTAATTGTAGTAAGCCAAGTGAGAGATGCTGGGGCTTTGAATGAAAGTGGTGTCTATATATGTAATGAGAAAGGAAAAGATGCTGAGGTGCTGTGGAGGTAGAAACAGCAAGAATTGGTAACTGATTGGGTATATCTGGTCAGGGAGAGGGAGGAGTTGAGAAAAACACTGAGATTGTGATCCTGAGAGACTAGAGGAGTGACTGTACCCTCAGGAGACAAAGCGAAGTTGGGGCAGCTAGGTGGCGCAGTGGATAGAGCACCGACCCTGAAGTCAGGAAGACCTAAGTTCAAATCCGGCCTCAGACCAAACACTTGACACTTACTGTGTGACCCTGGGCAAGTTACTTAACCCCAATTGCCTAAAAAGAAAAAAAAAAAAAGAAAAAAAAAGAGAAAGAGGGAAGTTTGAAAGAATGATTTGGGTTTGGGAGGGGTTGTTTCATGTCTTTCACAATCTTTAAATGATAAATCTTGGTAATAATGTGGACATAGAACACAGTAAGAAGCTTTTAGGAAAAAATACAAAGTGACCAGTAGTTCGAGTGAATTTTCCTTGTAATTCAGATTTGAAATCATTTTCTGATAATGGCATGGAATGTACAGGCACATCCCACTTAACCTTTTGAATTGGTTCTGAGAAAACATTACTTTAGAAGAAATAGCTTTATTGGAGGCAGTTCTTTCCATGGCAGCTATGTTACAGATGGAAAAAAAAGTTTCTTGGACAATCAAGCTTCAAGCCATGAAAGCTTAAAATGTGCCTTTACAGAAACAAGACTCTTAATAACTTTGGTCTGCATTTGGCTTTGTGAATAACAATAAAGGACATGTGTGTAGAATTTTCAAAGTTCCAAAATATGAAGACCTCTTCTACCAAGGGACCCCCTGAGATTTTTGGCTGGACTTAGTGGCAAGGTATGTATGTGTGTGCATTTGCACCTGGGGCTAGCTGACTGAATGACAACAGAGAAGGTAGAGGAGGTGAAAAGAGTGAATACCTCTGTGTTCCTTAGTTTAGGGTTTTGTTTAAAGTGTAAAGTTTTAACCAGGTCCAAGTTCAGATGTGGGAAGCCATGTGTTATGGTAGAAAATGCTGAATTGGGAGTCATAGGACTTGGGTTCAGATGCTTGTTCTTGTGCATACCACCTGTGTACAACCTCTGGACTTCAGTGTCCCTCATTTATAAAATGAAAGGGCTAGACTGGATAACCGATTCCTCTCTCTCTCCTTATCCTTCCTTCACTCTTTTTAAAGTGATGGGGGATAAGGGGCTTAAACTTTGGACTTACCAAGACATTCAGCCTAACCTTTTTTTTCTATTATATTTTCTTATGTGTTCTAGAAGTAGCTATATAGAACAATTAATTAAGACTTCTTTCAGAGTGATGTTCAAAGAGATATCCAGCATTATAGTAGGTTATATCAGTAAGCAATCCCATTGAAAACAGATTAAAATTGGGTAACTAGGCTTATCTGGGATAGCCTCTTGGGATTGGCTAAAGAACAGTCTAGGCACTTTAGGGTGAGGCTTGATTATAATGTAATCAATTAAGTTGGATCAAGCCAACTTTATTTAGGTTAGGATTCTATATAAATGTACAAATTCTTATCCATAAAACTTTAAAATGAAAAACCAAAACGTGATTACTTTAATTATTCATCTGTATGTATCTATGAAAGACGTTGATATATAGTATTTCTTTCTTTTTTTTTTTCCTCCTAGGACACTGCCTTAGGAAAACCAAGAGAGGTTTTCAGACTCCCTACAGATTTAGCAGCTTATGACAACCGCCTTTGTGCATCTCTTCATTTTACATCTTCTACATGGGCTACACTGTCAGATGGAACAGGTAGATTGTATCTTATTGGAACAGGGGAACGTGGAAATGGTACTTCTGAAAAATGGGAGGTAAGGTTTGAATAAACCACTGTGTCCAAATTAAGATAAACCAAGACTTTAAAAGATAATTTTTTTTTCCTTCAAGGGAAAGCTATTAGAATATTTTTTATCATATAGTCCACTAAACTCAGTAAATAACTTGATCAAGAAATTGTCTTTAGCCATGACATATTGCTTTGCAGGCATTGGCTTGACATTATTGAATCCTGCCTGTGGAAGGAAAGTGCTGACAAAACAAAAACAATGGGTGTATGAAAAGGGGAAAGAGCTTAAGTGTTATTTAATGCTTTTTTCTCTCACTGGTACCCAGGTTCCCTTTCTTCTAAAGCACTTTCCTGGCTCTAACATTGTTTTTTACTTTCAGGTCATATCCTGGATATAATAGAGTCCTCTTTGACTCTGTCCCTTTTTGTTCATCCTTGTCTTCTTTACTCATGTAATTGAATATTTTGCAGTTTTGGTTTCAAGAAATGTTTGTTGGATTTAGCTTAGGTTTTTTTCCAAATTTGCACTCCCTTTCCTATACTCACCATTATTGTGGATAGTATGGTATAGTGGAAAGAACATTGGATTTGGAGTCAGGGGGAGGGTCTGAATAATCCTTGCTTACTTGTGTGACATTGGGCAAGTAACTTTCCTTCTATGGAAGACAGTTTTCTCATTTGTAAATGAGAGGGGTAAACTAAATGACTAGTAAAATTCCTTTTTAGCTCCAAAAAGCCTATGAACCTTTCTACTTTACATTGTGTAATTATTATTTTTTTTGTAATTTCCATTCACTTATGTATGATTTTTAATTTTTTCATGATGTATCCTCCAACTTCCTTAGTACCTAGGCTCTCAAGTGTTCATTTTGAAGTTAAGTATAACACACTCTGATTGGGGGTGTTGGTGTTGAAAAATTAAATTTATCACTCTTTGATTCCTTAATGTTAATTGTTCTGAGCCAGTCAGACAATACTTACATATTATCTTTGTGTGCTTAAGGAAGTCAGTTAACTTCTCTAGGCCTCAGTTTTCTCAACCATAAAATAAGAGTGTTGAACTGTGTGAATTCCATAGGTCTTTTCCTGTTCATAATTTGTGATTCTGTGTTTATCTAGTTGGTGTAACATTAGTGAATGGTATTTTGGATGCTTATGGTATATGTGTGGAGAAAGGCAGAGAAGGAGAGGCATTTGATATCTCAGAACATTTCCAGAGACTTGCACGCCTGGCGTAAATTGAAGGTCTCTGTAAGGATGCATGAGTGCAGTGAGTACTTAGGAGAAAGGAGGCTAAAATGAAAGATATAGGACTTTTGAGCTTTAGAACTTTGAAAACTATTAATATATCATACTTTAACCATTCTTTTTTTGTTAAGGGTTGTTTGTTTAAGGGTTTTGGTTTTTTTGTTTGTTTTTTGCATTTACAAATAATGCTTATCTTAACTTTTTTAAAATGACATTTTCAGAGTAAATTCCAAACATTGAAATTACTGAGTAAAAGGATAAAATTTTTTTTTTTTAACTTTTACTATCTACTACTTGATTGTTCTCCAAAAGATTCAAGTAATTTGCCATTTCAGCAGAATCCATCTGAGATACAAGGTAATGAGATGATCCACCAGCACGCAAAGTAGCTTTCTCTCTTTTCTTCTTCCCCCATTTCTCTATCCCAACCCCATATGTACATCTTGCCCCTTCCACTGGGTTGCTTGACTGCTCACACAGTTTGTATGAGGTGGGAATCACTAGTTCTGTTTCTTCTGGTGAGATTAATCCTTACCAATTGCCCTACCACTGCCTCCTAAGGTCTTCCAGGAAATAACCTGCTTCTAAACCTTGCTGACCCCTGGGCCTTGCTATCTACCTTGCAGCTGAAGTTTCTGTTACGTTTATCTTCCTTGATTGAAGGGTGAGCTTCTTTGAGAGCAGAGACTCTATTGATTTTTCTATTTGCTACCCAAATCTTAGCCCACTGCTTGGCTGATAGAAAACACTTAGTAAATACTTTTTCATTCATTCATCATTCATTAACAGTGAATGAGTATACCTTTTCTCTACAATCTCAACAACATTTATTTTAACTATTTTTTACTACTTGATGGATGTAGGGTGCTACTGATGGGGTGCTTGGACCCCAGCCCTAAGATCATGTTTCTGTAAGCCTACCAATTTCTCAGTAGGCCCCTGTCCTGTGAGAAAATTTTCTCTTGTTTCAAAACACATTCTCTTATCAGAACAGATAGAGGGGTGCCTGGCTCAAGGATTTTTGTCCCTGGCTGGCCCAAGGACTCTTCCTCCCACCAGATTCCCAAGGTCCATGTCTCTGGCAACTACCTCAATGTCTGTCATACTCCTTACACTTTCCCATCCATAGCTCCCAAAGACACCTGGACTCTTAGATTACCTGTTTAGTATCCTTGGCATTCCTTTCCCATGCCCTCTTTCCATATAAACCCCAGCACTATCCTCAGTCTTTCATAGGTTCCCATAAGAACTCTTGCCCACTTTTGCTAAAGTGTTACAATAAACTCTTTGCACTTTATTAAGAGAAGACTTGAGTGTGTGAATTCATTCCAGGTGACTCTTTCTTGGCATTCTTGGGGTCTCAGCACCCCAAAACTTTGTCACTACCTTATCTACTGGCTGCCTCCCTACTGCCCACAAACATGTTCCTCTTTCCTCCATCCTCAAAACACTTTAACTTGATCCATCCATTCCTGCTAGCTGTCATTCTACATATTTCCTATATATATTCATGGCTAAATTGAGAAGGCTTTCAGTGTCTTTACTTTGTTTCTTCTCAGTCTCTCATTTAAGGCTCTAGTCTTCCATAGTCATTATTTAACTAAAACTGCCAACTCTAAAGTTGCCAGTGATGTTTAATTGCATAATCTAATGGCCTTTTCTCAATCTTCGTCCTTCTTAATCGGTCTCTTACAGTTTTTGACGCTTTCAGTCATCCTCTTCTCATTGATACTGTCCTTTCTCTGTATTATTTTACGTTGTTCTCTCTTGATTTTCTTCCTACCTGTCTGATTTTCTTCTTACCTGTTTCTTCTTTGTCTAACTGTGAAGGTCCCACAAAGTTCTGTCCTGGACCCTCTTCTCATCTCCCTTTATTATACTATTTCACTTGTGTATCTTATCAGCTTCCATGGATTCAACTGTCATCTATATGCAGATGATTCACAGATTGAGTTATTCAACCCTAACCTCTTGTCTCTGTGGACAGCTAGGTAGTGAAATGGATAAAAGCCTGAGTGCAAGTCTAGAGACCTGAGTTCAAATCTGGCTCGTATACTTACTAGCTGTGTGACCCTGGGCAAGTCAGTTAATTCTGTTTGCCTCAGTTCCTCATCTGTAAAGTCATCTGAAGAAGAAAATGGCAAATCATTTCAATATCTTTGCCAAGGAAACCTCAAATGGTGTCATGAAGGGTTGTACATGACTGAAAGCACTGAACTATGCCAACAAACCTTGTCTCACATCTCTAACTACTTATTAGACATCTTAAACTTAACATGTCCAAAACTGAAATTAGTATCTTTCCCCTGAAACTCTTCCTTCTTTCTCTCCTAAGTCAGAGGGATCACCATCGTCCCAGTCACAGCCAGGATCAACACTTATGCATCATCCTTGACTCCTTGCTTTCACTCATTCCCCATATCCAATCATGTGTCAAGTCTTGTCATTTTTACCTTTGTAACATCTCTCGAATATGTTTGCTTCTCTCTTGATACTACAGTAACCCATCTCATGCCTGGACTATTGCAGCAGCCTTTTAATTGATCTCTCTGCCTTACATGTCTTGCCACTCCAGTATATCCTACACTTAGCTGTCAAATTAATCTTAATAAAACGCAGGTCTAACCATGTCACCCCTCCCTCCCCCCACTCAATATATGCCAATACCTCCCTATTATCTCTAAGATCAAATATAAAATTCTGTTTGCCTTTTAAAACCCTTCATAATCTGGCCCCTTCTACTTTTCTAATCTTTTTTTTAATTTAATTTTTAATTTATAGAATAAAACAAGCAGTTGTTTCCAGTCTTCTTAAACCATACTTTCTTCTTTCCTATCCTTCCTGTACTCTGTGACCCAGTGACCTTGGTCTCCTTGCTCTTCCTTGCACAAGATACTACATCACCCAAATCCATACATTTTCATTGTTTCCTATGCCTGGAACTCTTGCTTTTCTCTCATTTTCATCTTCTGGTGTTCTTCAAGACTCAGCTAAAGTCCTACTTTGATAAGAAATCATTCCCAGCCATCCTTCATCTTAGTGCCTTCCCTCTGATTATCTCCAATTTACCCTGTATATACGGTTTGTACATGGTTGTTTGCATGTTGTCTCCCCCTTTAGATTGATTTCTTAAGACCAGGGACTGTCTCTTGCCTTTCTTCATATCTCCAGTGTTTAGCTAAGTGCCTGACACAAGGTAGGCCCTTATTCATTGTTTATCGATTTGACTTGACATGACTTGACTCGGAGGAATCAGTAAAGGCTTTGTGTAGTAGATAGTGCTTGAGCTATCTCTCAGAAGGGTCAAGGTGAAAAAAGGAGTAAATTCCAGGAATGAGTGGTAACTAGTACAAAGGCATAGAGATTGGAGATAGCCTAATATGCATGAGTTTCTGAGAGAAGTCCATTTTGCCTGGACTGTAGGGTATGGGAAAGGGAAGTATGATGAGTCTGGATAGTATAGACCCAGGTTGTGAAGGGTTTTGGAAGACAGGTGTTTATATTTTATTCTAGAGGAATGATTGGAGTTTGAGTAGAAGAAGAATGACAAACTCAGAAGTTCACTTAAGGAAAATCACTTTGGCAGCTATGTGGAGGATGGATTGGAGCTAGGGAGTTCTGTTTAGGACAGGGAGAACATTTAGGAGGGCATTACAATAGTCCAGGTGAGAGATGATAAGAACCTGAACTTTTAGGCTGTGTGAGTAAAGAGAAGGGGTCTGATACTAGAGATATTGTAGAAAGTTTGATGGGATATGTTGAGGGATAATAAGGAGGTTAGGATAATCGGACTGCAAAGTGTTTAAGAATGAGTGAAAGGAGAGGATGAGGAGGCAATGAGTGTTGACAGCTTTTCTCTTGGAGCTTTTTTCGACTGACAAAGTGGAGTGATATAGGAGAATAGCTTAAGAAAAAAGACCATTAGTTAGTGAGGATTTTTTAAAGATAGGTGAAACGAGCTTCATAATCTGGCCCCTTCCTACTTTTCTAATCATTTTTTTAAATTTAATTTTTAATTTAGGGAATAAAATAAGCTTACTTACTAGCTGTGTGACCCTAGGCAAGTCACTTAATTCTGTTTGCCTCAGTTCCTCATCTGTAAAATGATCTGGAAAAGAAAATGGCAAATCATTTCAGTATCTTACGGGGAGGGTTTGAAGAGTAGATAAGGATTGTAGATGTTGAAGAGGACAAGACCTGAGAGGAATTGGTATCAAGGACACATGTAGAGTAGTTGGCCTTAGTAAGAAGGGCTACTACAGAAAGCAGATGAAGATGTCAAAGTGTTTTGAGATAAAGAGAGAGAAAAAGTCCTTGTTTGAGAGCGAGAAGGTAAGTGAGAGGTGTAGAAGGCTTTAAGAAAGAAGAGAATGTTTGAAATAGCTTCTGTAGAGTGATTAAGATAAAGAATCCATCAGGGAAGAATAAAAAGACTTCCCTGCTCTGAGGTTCTGATTAAAGCCAGAAAAATTTCTTGTGTACCCAGTCAAAACAGTTATATGATTTCCTCCTAATCAATTAGCTTCAATTAGCTGCGCATAAATAAGAGTGGAGGAAGTGGATGGTGAAAATAATCCAGGTCTTTCATTGGCTAGGGATGAAAATTGAAAGTGTTCTTGATTCCAAGGAAGTTGCACTCTACTAGACTCAAGGGGAGTAATATGTGCAGTTAAGTAAATAAAGGGTAAATTGAGGGAGGGAACTGTAACAACTCAGAGGATCGTGGAGGTGGCAACTGGGAGAATATCGGGATTTGGAGAGGCAGACTTGGGGAGGATGAATATTTCAGGCATGTGGGTTAACTTTTAGGCACAGCGACAAGAGATGGACTTCTGGGCTCTGGGACCAGATAGTTTAGATGAAACTTGGGATGCGGGAAGAAGAGTACATTGAAGAAGATGGCAAAGGTAGATTCTTTAGAGGTCTTTCAAATGCCAAACAGAAGGGTTTATAATTTACCCTAGAGGCACTTGGGTATCCTTGGACTTGTGAGCAGAAGAATGACATGATTAGACATTTTATTCAGCAACAATATTTTGGCAGTTCTATAGAGAAAATATTGGTGAGGTGAGAGACTGAAGACAGGGAAACCAGTTAGGAAACTATTACTATGTCCAGACAAGGGGTGAGGAATGTCTGAATTAGTGCTATAGCCATGTGAGTGGAGAGAAGGGAAAAAATGCCAGAGCTGTTTTGGAGGAAGAATTGTCATTACTTGGATCCTGATTGTATATGTGCTATAATGGAGACGAAATGTTTGAGATCACTTTGTGGATACAAACCTGCATATCTGGATGGGTGATGGTACCATGAACAAAAATACCCATAGAAAATGTGCTTTGTTCTAGCAAAATCAATCTATAAAATAAATATTCTGCACCCTGCTTATGTAATAATTACTGTCTATTTTAAGCAACAGCCAACTGGTTAACAAGAGAACAACTTGATTATGTGCTTTTTTCTATTGTGGACAAGAAGAGGAAAGTTAGTGAGGTTTTTTTCTTTACCTGAGCCCTTTATTTGAAATAGTCAATGTGACATGGTAGTTCATAGAACTTTGGGCTTGGGAAACAAGAAGTCCTGAGTTCACACCCCACTTCAGACCACTTTATGGCACTTGTCAAGTCACTTAACTACTTTCTCAGCCTTAGCTTCTTCATCTTTAAAATGGAGATGATAGTAGCTGCGCATTTAACTCACAAAGTTGTTGTGGGATTCAAGTGAGCTAATGCATGCAAAGTCTTTTCAAACCTTAAAGCATTATAGAATATCAGTAATTATTATTAAAATATTCCAGCTCTATAATTCCAAAGCCAGCCACTGAAACACCACGGAAAAATAAAATCTAAGGACCTAGGACAGACCTGCACAACTTGGCAGTAGATTAGGGGCCAAAATTAAAACAAGCTAAGCTTCTTTGGGCTGCAGATAGGTTAGACTAGAGATAGACTGATGATGGTTGGTTGCCACGAGTCACATGACAAACAGGAGAGAGGGTGCAGTGGCAACCCTACGTTTTTTGTGGGCTGCCTGAAATCCTTTGGTGGGCCACAAGCGGCCTGCAGGCCATATGTTGTGCAGTCCTGACCTAGGAGGAAGAACGATATGTCTGAGAGATGGAAGAAATGGGAGGAAAGGGTCGGTCCTTAGCAGCATTATATGTCTCTACTTCCATGCTGAGTTAAGAATTCTTCTTTTCACTTGCTAATTCATATCTAGAGCCTGGTGTCAACACAATTTCATATCTGGATCCTGGTATTTAGGAATATGATTTCAAGCAGTATGCTCATTTGAACATAATCCATTTCCAAGGAGAATTTTTATGTTGCATCACTTTGATTTTCTTTTATTATTAAATCAAGGATACTTTTATTGCTTCTGAATTGTCCGTATCTTTATTGTTGTTATATCTTACTGTTGTGTCCAGAGGTTCCCAAACTTATTTGGCTACCACTCCCTTTTAAAAAAAAAATTACTCAGCGCCCCCCAGAACTCTATTCTCTTTAACCTTTTAATGGTTTTTTTGAAATTTGCATCATTAAAAAAATATTTTTTTAAAAAAAGATGCATCTTAAATTTAATCCTTTATTGTAAATTTGTGTTGTTTTTCCTGAATTGAAATTTTGATGACATATAATATATTGTAAACAAGTCATTACACACATATATTTCTGCTGATGCATGTTGGACTTCCTGACGGTGTGACAGGCTTGCCTGCCAGTACTGTTGACAGACTTGACCACTGATTAGTTATAACTTGCATTTTGTGTGTTTATTTGGAAAATAATGCAGTCACTATGACATTAACTCTTGTTACACAACAGATGAAACGTACAAATGGTTTTTCAAAATTTTCTCTTCTTTTTTCCATATATTTCCACTGCCTCCTTATTTTTATTCAACGCCTTCCAGTTGCACCTGAGGCTACTACCTCCACCCTTGGATCATTCCAGCGCTCTCCAGGGGCTGATATTACCCACTTTGGGAACCTCTGGTTGTATCTTTATATTCAAAAGAATTATTTTGTTCAAAACTAGCAGTTTAAATGCCAAGTCACAATAGTAGTGGATTGACCTTTTGTGTCATTTCCTTCCTTTGGTAAAATGAACATTAGCCCATATGTCAGAATTTGTCACTTAAACATGTTAATTTCTCACTTTATTTTTCTTATAGATTGTGTTTAATGAAGATCTTGGAGATCCATTTGTTATACTTCACAGTATTTCCATTATAAAATCTGAGGATCATTCAATAGCTACCATACTTCTTCGAGTTGAAAAAGAAGAATTAGATCGGAAAGGAAGTGGCTTCTATGTTTCTTTGGAGTGGGTTACTATCAGTAAGATAAATAAAGGTAAAATGTGAAAATTTTTAAATGTTTGAATCTCTCTGACATGTGTATTCATTATGTAGTTTAGCATTGTGAACCCCTTCCTATGAATGCCAGTTATTTCTCAGATTTGAGTACCAACGAACTGGAATTGTTGATTTTTGTTTCTGGGTACATAGGGCCAGAGCATTAGCATGTAGGCTTCCTTCAGATAATAATTGAGAGAGACAAGAATAATGCATCTTTCTGCATTTGATTTTACTTTTTATTTAATAGAATTCTTATTAGAAGGATAGCCAATACTAAAATTCAGTGTTTACTCTTGGGTATTAAGAATGATACAATATGGAAAAAAATCAATTAAGTACATTGATGTAGACTGTAATCTCCCTTCACTAAACCTCAGCTCTTAAAGATTCAATTAAATATTGCATTTCCTTTCTACTCTCAGTAAAATCTCTTATTCTCACTAACAGTGCTTCCAGGGCTTGAAAATGGTCAACCCTTTTTCCTTTTGCGTATATGTTGAGACTCATTGAATTTGCTACTAGTCAGGTCTCAATTCTCCTTGCCTTTTTAACAATATTAACAAGTGGTTAAGAGTAGTATTCCGTGAGAATAGAGAATATTGTTCTATGTGAAGAGGACTTCTGTCCTCATTTCTTCCAGTATTTTCCTGTTTATAAGACTTTCATAATGGTTTACTTCTTTAGAAAAGGTCTTTACTTTAGGTTTTCAGGTTTAACTTACTTTTTTTTTCTTTTAACAAGGTGATTTTTTTTGTGGGGGGGGAGGGGCAGCTTTTTTTTTTAAACTAGAACTATTAAGTTGATTTGTAGTACAATTATTTGATTTGAGCCCTGTAGGCCCAGCTTCACTTTGCATTATTTATTGATTTTTGGGCTCTGTGTTTGAATCTTTTAGCTCGACACAATCTGTTAAGAAATATCTAGTGTTTTGTTTCATCTTTCTGGTGGTTCCTCTTATTGGTTCTAATTCTTACTTACAACATCACTAATGTGAAAATGCTTAATAGGAATGTATCTGTATAGCCTATATCAGATTGCTTGCCATCTTGGGGAGAGAGGGGGAGAAAAATTTAAAACTCAAAAGCTTATGGAAGTGATTGTTGATAAATCAAAATAAATTAAGAATAATAATAAAAAAAAGATCATGTGGAAAAACAAAAGGTCAGTAATTTCGAAGAAACCAGGGAAAAAAGATGTAAAGAAAGGAAATTTAGTAGCATCAGACCTTAAATTATATTGTAAAGTGAGAGCATTGTTGAAGTGTTAAATGTATCATTTCAGTTATTTTAGATTAAAATATTCTTGTATAAATAAGACCAATGTAGCCAATAATAGAAGGAATGCAAAAAATTGGGGGGGAAAACCTTTTATAGACAGTCTTTCAGATAGGATGTGATTGTGTTGGAATATTGCTGTGGTGTAGGAAATGATGAACTGGTTGAATTTGAAAAACATAGAAAGACTTGGACTTATGAAGGAAGATGCTATCCACCTTCAGAGAAAGAATCACAAGTGGAAATATGCATAGTATGTCTTACATATATGTGTATGAGGGTATATGTGTATATATGTGTATGTTTATAGATATTTATGCATATGTAAAAAAATAAATATCTATTTAGAGGATTTATTTTTTTCTGTTAAGGTAAAGAGTAAAGTTGGCAAAGAACTTTAGCTTCTGGATAAATGCCCTATTTTTGGAAAGTATCAGGTAGTATGTCTCTTCTGTACAGATAAATTACATTATTAAGAATGCCTCATTTTAAGTAAGTCATCAACCATTTATTAAGGGCTTACTACTTACTACTTAATATAAGTTTTATATTTACTCCGGAGGTAAATTGAATTGGTGGTGGTGTCATGGTCAGTAGCTGAGTGAAGATGGACTGGAGTGGAAAGAGACAGGCAGGGGGACCAATCAGCAGGCTTGTGTAATAGTCCAAATGTGAGCTGATAAGGGTCTATACCAGGGTGGTAGTGGTTGCAGAGAAGAGAAAGGGGCATCATAAGAAATATTGTGAAGGTAGAATCAGTGTGGCACTTGGCAGCTCATTGGATATTGGAGGAGGGGTGAGAGAGTGAGGAGCAAAAGATAACACCCAAGTTTTGAGCCTAATTGACTGGGAGGATGGTGAGGGCCTTGACAGTAATTGAAAATCAGAATTTTTTACATAAAAATAGTTATTTGGTGAGCAGTTAGCTTTACAAAATAATTTTGGAATTTCTCTAGCAAGTTGCCTTAAAACATTTTGAGTATTTGTTGTTGTTCAGTCATGTCTGACTCTTTGTGACACTGTGGACCATACTGTTCTTGTTTCTTGGCGAAGATACTGGAGTGGTTTGCCATTTATTTCTTCAGGAAAGCTAAAATGTTTAGCCTCCATAAATTGATTTACATATAACTGTGAAGAAATGCATGTTGACATAAGTGAGGCAAACTTTTTTTTTTGTTATGAGAACACTATCATAATCACCAACTCATTGTTTTAATACATGCATGTAAAAAACTAGTTTTAAGAAATATTTCCAAAGTTTTTTTAAGTTTTTTTTTATATTTAGTTAAAAATTACTTTTTTCTTTTTCTACAGAGATTCAAAAATATGAAATTACTGAGCGTAAAGTGCTCCATGGTAAATCAGTTCCACATTATGCTGCTATTGAGCCTGGTGGCAATGGTCTAATGATTGCTTCCTGCAAATCCTTCAGGTTTGTTCATGATGAGAAGCACGATGAAGAAAATAAAGATGAGACAGATAACAATAAAGGTAATGTTACTTTTGATCTATTTTTGGCAGAACTATTTTGCACTTGATTGTGTGTATCTTTGTAAACAGCATTGTTCTGTTTGTGTTTGTTTTTCCTGCTTCCCTAATTAGGTTATTAGTTCTTTGAGGACAATGGTCTTTTTACTTCCTACATTCTTATGTTATTTATACTTAATGTCTAATATAATGTTCCTCATGGACAGTACTTGGTAAACATAGTTTTAACTTCAAAGAAACTTATAAAATATTCTTAATACATAATACATCCATCAAAATCATCAAAGCATATTGGTATAGTAAAAAAAAAAAAACTACCTTTCTCTTAAGATAATATTAAAAAATGGTAAAGGAAATTTATAGGAGAGAGAGAAGAGGAAGGATCCAGGGGCATCAGGGTTACATGGGCTGCCTTAGGCTATCCAGTATCACCTGGGAATTTAGAAGCTTCTCTCTGTTAGTACCAAAATACTCTTCATTTGTCAGCTCTTCTGTGCATTTGCTATCCGTTGCTGTGCTTGGTTTCAACTCCTCTATCATCCTCCTCCATCCCCTAGGGTGTGGGGGTACACTCCTTCCCAATATAAGCTCATCACCAGGAAACTCTTCATTTTGGAGATTGCTTCAGCTTTTCTATTCACGTCTACTACCCTTAGTTGCTTCTGCCTCTGAATGGATATCATAAAATACCAAAGTGAAATATGTGATTTCAACCTCAAGCTTTTCTTAACCCTACTTGAATCTGTATAGCTAGAGATTGAAGAAAGGAATTCATTTATGCCTTTGGTCTTTTTTTAACTTTATTTATTTTCACAAAAATCTCATGAACTCTAAGCTTTATATGCATCCGTAGCTTCAAAGGTAGAACAGATGCCAAAGGTCTGAGCAAGAATACTTGAACAAGAATCCCCAGTACAACATTTCTGGCAAGTATTTGTATACCCTCTGCTTCAAGATCTCTAGTAATAGGAACTGACAGCTTGTGAAACTACCTAGCGTATGCTGATTCTGGATAGTTATAACTGGTAGGAAATTTTCCTTGTAGTCGTACTGGCTCTCTTTAGCTTGTACTTATCACTCTTATCCCTGTCTTGTCAGGCCGCACAAAACAAGTTTAATTGTTTTGCCATATACAACCTTTAAAGTACTTTACAGTCACAGAATATCAGAGGTGAAAAGGAAATTAGAAGTTATTCAGTCCAGTCTGTACTTTATGGCACACCCAACAAGTGGTTGTCTGGCTTATGTTTTACAATTCATTATGTACCATGACAGCCATTTCTTCTTTTTTCCCTAATTGTTCCTTTTCCAGGCTAACCACCCTTAGTTTCTTCTACTCATTTTATTTTGCCAGAGTCCTTTCATTCATATTGGTTTTCTTCCTTGGTACATATTCAAGTTTATGAGCATCCTTCCTTAACTGTGGCACCTGAACACAAACCCTGAATGTGATTGGAAAGCTGGGTTTGGCCAGACTATAATTCCTCATTTTGGCCATTGTATGTCTCTTAATTTATTCTAAGAACATGTTAATTTTTTTGGCTGCCATATTACCAAGATTATAAGTGCGTTTGAGCTCTGATATTCAGAATCAACATTCTTTTTTCTTCTGTTTTATTCAATATTTATTGCAAACCTGAAATGTTATTAGTTTGATATTTAAATAGATTTGCAGTGTCATTGTAGCTGGTACTTTCTATGTTGGCACAGATTATATCCCTTTCACTTCTCATGTTACATTATTATTCTTTATATCTTAGATTAAATCTTCACAGGAATCAACCTGTTGTGCAGAGGTTCTTTCTCTAGATCTCTTGACATTACCTAGGTACTAGAGCTACATGTCTAGCTTATCATTTTTTTATAATTGTCCGATTGAATTTTATCTTTGTTATAACATATCCTGAACCTGATTATATACATTTGGCTGATCCAGAAATGATTTCCATGTTGATCATCATTCATTTCCTGTATGTTAGGATATAGCCAGTTTTTAAAGGGTTATGTTGTTCTTTCTTGTCTTGTGCATTCTGATTCCCTTTTTGAACAAAATATCATTGATTAAAGGGATGAGATCTTCATATAGACTGTAAGCTTTTAGAATCTCTTATTTCTTATTCCTGAACCATATCTTTCAATATTTTTTTTTCTGTACTGCTATAGGGGCGTTGAAATACCCCATTGAAACTTTTGCATTGACATCCCCAAATACATCTTGAGTTAAAAAGAAAATTCATATCAATTTCTTCATAAAATTTCTCTGCCTTAACATTATTTGCCACAGATGTTATGCAGTTATTTTTGTGATGATCTTTTTGGAAATGTTTACTGTAAATACTGTGACATAAAATGACCATGAAATTATATTTCCTGTTGCCTTTTGGTGAGTGATAAAATTGAGTATGCCGATTCCAGTAAGAACTTGGAGGTCATTTGTCCATTTAACTTCACTTTCCTTTTGTCTTGTTTCATTTACAGTGAAAATGTTGAGGTTGATGAGATGCACTTCCTTCCATATAGTATGTCCATTCATTGATCACTAGCCAGGATCTCAGCAGCAGTTGAGGTGATAGTTAAATTTATAGACAATCTAAAAATTGTGTGATTCATAACAACTTATGTGTCATTTTTTACCACTGTCACTGCCGAAATGGAAGTTCCTCTCAGAACTGAGGGACATTTTGAATTTTTCTGTTTCATATATTGTCATGGTTATACAGCTCATGACCTAATGGCCATCCTACTGGTGTAGAACTTTTCCTTAATTAGCTAAGTCAGTCTAAGCTAGAGAGCAGTTTGTCTAGTCCAGTGCCTGGCACATAGCAGTAACTCAGTAAATGTTTGTTGATTGAGTGATTACTTGAAAAGGATCTTTGGGTTTTACTGGCTTGTTACAAGTTCACTATGAGTGAACAGTGTAATATGGCAGCCCCCCCCCCCAAAATAGGTGATGTTAGTTTGCATTCATTTAATAGGGATTTTAGACAGATGTGGCCCAGAGAAGGTAAGTAACCTACTCAAGATCATAGTAGAAAGTAGCAGAACCAGCATTTGAACACAGATCTCACTTCAAATCCAGTGCTCTTTCAGCTGCCCTACCTGCCTTAGAAGCAGAATGAATGTAAGGCCCACTGTACTCCACCCTGGTAAGACTTTATCTGCAGGACTCTTTTCAGTTATGGAAGTCACATTTGGGAAGAACATTCACAGGCTGAAAAGTACCCAGAGATGGGACAACCAGAATTGAGAAGGATCCAGAGATTGTGCCACATGAATATCAGTTGAAGGAACCATGTCAGCTTGGAAAGAGAAGGGAAGAGCTAGAGGTGGTAGGAGGGACATGACTTTTAAGGTCCCTTCAGTTCTGAGGTTGTATGGATGTTTGGTCCTCATAAAGCAAATGTGGTCTCTGACGTGGGACTATACTTGAAACCTTTTCAGCAAGGAGGAACCTGATGAAACTTTGCCTTCTACTGGCACAGCCATTGAAAATTTAGTCATCTCTATGCTATGATAAAGGCTTGGGGTTGGACTTTGTGGAAGATTTCCTTTATTGATGGAATTAAATTATGGTGGGTTTGAGTCTGAGTTCATAAAGGACTTCTACAAACTGTAGAATGGGAAAAGAGAAAATATTATCTGGTTGCATAGGTGAATTGTCAGCCTGACTATTGCTTCCTCCAAGTCACAAAGATTACCTAGCTAGAGTCCTCATCAAATTATTGGTAGAAATGATTTGTTATTTTGTTTACTTTTAAGTAGTTTTTTCAAATGGATTGGGGGTGGCAGGATCTGGACCTGTGATTTTATTGGTATGAGGAGCTCCTGCTGTTGAATCTACCTCCACTGATAGAGATTAGCAACTCATGGATTATTTATGATTTTAGAGAGCTACCTAGGGCACAGATTGTACCAACCTGCCTGTGGTGACACAGAATCTAAAGAAAGAAAAGGAAAGGAAGTTGATGAAATTCATATTTTTCTGAGACTGAAATTCCTTGTTCTGTGGAGTATTAATGAAGAAAAAGAAAAATGTTTAATGTATTTGCCAGAGTTCTGTAACTGAAGGCCCTCATGAGAAAGTTTGGAATGATTTGAGATCTGTAGTCAAACTTGCTTGAGATGATCATCTGCAATGATTTCAGAACATGTATTTTTTTTTTTTTTTTTTGAGTGTTTGGGTATATAATTTTAATTATTTTGGATATTTTTTTCCTCCAGTAGAACCTTTGTATTACTGGCAGCAGACTGAAGAAGATCTGACAATAACAATACATCTTTCAGAAGATGTTTCTAAAGAGGACATTGAAATACAGTTTTCCCCTGATCATATCAGTATTGCCCTAAAAAAGCAGCCATATTTGGAAGGAAAACTCTATTCATCTATTGATCATGAAAGTAGTACATGGATAATTAAAGAGAATAAAAGGTATTTTTATACGACGTTATTTTTTTTATTGTCCATTGTTGCTATTGTTTCCTACCTGATTTTAAGAGATAATAATACTTAACATCATATTTGTTACCTGTATAACTTGTGAAGAAAAAAATAATCTGTTGATGTATATTATGTATCTGTGTCATTTCAGATTTTTGTGTGGTCTCTTGATAGTTTTTTGTGCATTGTCTCTTGATAGTTTACTTAATTCCATTTATTAATTTACTATCTCATGCCATAAAAGAGGGGCTTTTTTTGTTTGTTTTTGGAGAGGCAATCAGGGTTAAGTGACTTGCCCAGGAAAGAGTTTTACCAAAAAGTCAATCTTGTCATTTGTTCTTCTTACAGCATGCAATAATTTGTACCTTTTTTTGGGAGGAGAGAGGTGTTAACCCTTTTTTCCAGCAAAGTGGGTAAATGCATTAAATTGGCAATTGAATTCATGGTACTTTGAGGGACTTGAAGTTTTCATGTTTATCTATGTTTTCAGGACTTGGTGTCAAGAATACATGTGTTCAAGTGCCTCTGACACTTATTAGTTTTGTTACCATGGACAAGTAACTTGACCACTCTGAGACTCAGTTTCCTCATCTGAAAAATGAGGGGGGTTGGATTAGATGATATCTGAAGTCTCTTCTCTTACTCTATGACCCTGTGATCTAACAGGGAAAAAAAATGATTCAAGCTAGAGAACTAGAATATATTCTGAGAAGTGCCTGGGTAAACATTGTCCCTATCTCTCACGCTGACCTCTGCACAGTTCTATTGGTATAGATGACCTTCCAAGCAATAGAGAGATTAGGCAGCATTTTTGGATATATTCCTCCTGTCAGACATAGTTCTGTAATTGTCCTCTTCTCTCTACATTCATAAACTTATGGTGGGAAAAAAGGTATATTGGGGGGAAAATGGAAGGAATTATCATTAGATTGTGGACAGAACTAAAGATCATGGAAATCTTTAGTACTTGAGTTAGTATATGAGTCTTCAAACTGATTGGCACCTATAGAAATCAAGTTACTTAGTCAAGAAAACAATAACAAAAATAAGCAAAATAAAAGGATGTGTTGCAAAAAATCCACTAGTAAGTGGCCTTTAAGGAAAATATGCCTTTTCTTTGTAGTTGACGGGATAATTAATTTTTTAGTTAGGTCCAGCTCATGCTCTAATCCAGGAGTCGGGTATCTGTGGCCTTGAGGCTACATATAGCCCTCTGAGTCCTCAAGTGCAGCACTTTGACTGAATCCAAACTTCACAGAACAAATTTTCTTAATAAAAGGATTTGTTCTATAACACTTGGACTCAGTCAAAAGGCCACACCCAAGGACCTCGAAGGCCACATGTGGCCTTGAGTTCGAAGGTTTCACACTCCTGTAAAATCCATACTGGGTGTTTCCAGAGTTGCAGAGCAGGAGTTTTTCATTGTCAGAACTAAAATTGACAATAGATATATGAAATATATGAATTTATGAAATAGCTCTGAGAAAAATATGAAAATTGTATATTCATTTTTATCCCTTACATGGTATCTTACAGAATTGTTCTCACTGATTTGATTGTAGTCAAATCAAATCAACAAACATTTATTAAGTGCTTACTCTGTGCCAGGCCCTGGGCTAAGCATTGGACAAATACAAGCAAAAAGAAAGAATTCTTACCCTCAAGGAGTTTACATTCTAATGGGAGAAAACATATAAAAGGAAAGTTGAAAAGCAGGAAGGATGAAGGGAAAGGAAAAAGTACCCATGCTGGGACATGGTGGAGAAAGAAGTCCAGAGAATCAGGAAAGGAGGCCCAGAAGGAATTGAAGGAGTGATGTGGCTGCCCTGGACACTTTCCCAAAAGTGTTATGTCCCTAAAATGGAAGTTCCAGCAGGAACCAGTCAGTAAGAGAAAGGGACTACAGGGGTGGAGTGATCTTCCAGGGTGAGAAGAAATGTATTCAGAAAAAAGCAAATCAATAGTATTTCAAAGAGCTGCAGTCAATAGTCATTATTCTTCTAGAAACATAAGTCCTTTAAGTTAACCTTATTCTTTTTAATATTTCTTAACTTTCAATTTTTTCACATTCTCTCTACAAATTAGGTGAATTATGAAATAGGGATGGTTTATAAATACATAAAAGAGAAGTATAATCACTGTACCATAGCATGAGGTTCACTAATAACAGGTCATGCCAGACTAACTTTGTTTCTTTGTTTTTTTTAGTTTGTTTTTGTTAAGAAAAGTACTAGACTAGTAAATTAGGAAGATGTTGTAGTGATATGCTGTAATTGTTTTTGAGAAATTTGGCAAAGTGGTGTCATCTTTGCAGTTACTTGCGTTTGATAATGGTAATCATTTTACATGTATATATAGTCCTTTATAGTTTTGAAAATGCTTTCCTCATAGTAGTTTTGTGAGGTTAGAAACCAAAATTTAGAATGATTGAATGATAAGATCCCCAAAATAATATGGTTAATAAATTAAAATCAGTCTGATAAAGTTTTTGAAGTGTTTTGTTTTTAACTTACAAAAGAAATATAATTAGTTTTGATTGTCACTCTGCATCTCAGTACTAGAACATGCCAATTAGACATTAGTCTATCAGTCAATAAATATCAACTGCCTACTATGTGCTAAAGCACACAGATGTTGGTTATACAAATGTAATGAATGCATCAAGGAAGAGAAAATAAGGCCGTGTATAAATATAGACAGAATACCTATAAAGCATATAAATATGGAGCCTACAAAATACTTAAATGTAAGATTGGTTTGAGACGAAGAACATGATTTCAGAGCAGGCCTCAATTTTTACTTAAATTGTTAAATTATATAAATTTGTAAAGAAAGAAATCCATTGAAAATATTTCAAGAATTATGACCTACTTTAAAAAATAAAGCTGCCATCTAGGCGTCAGTGTTTCCCAGTGTCAGTCAGACTGGTCTGTTAACTGTCCCCCACACATGGCATTCCTTCTCTCCTCTGTGTGCTTTTGCCCCAAAGCTCTAGAATGTATTCCCTCCTCATCTCCACTTCATTGATTTCTTTCTTTTTTTTCTCCTTTTTTTTGGAGGGGGGGGCATGTGGATTGCCAAGTTTATTTTTATCAACTTAGTAAGAAATTTTACAGGTATAGGAGGCACAAAGGATGCAAAATTGAATTTATAACATAAGCAAAGAATAAAAACAAATTTCAAATTACAACGCCACCACAGTGTACAGCCCAGGAAAGAGATCTTAAGAACAAATGTTCTATTTCAGGTTTGGTCTTTCCCCTCTTGGCACAATGGATTCTCAGTTGGAGCATCTTCTACCACCTCCTACAAGAGTAGAAAAATGATCTTCTTGTCTGGTTCCCTTGTCCAGCTAGAGACATCTTCAGAAGCTGCACACTCAGTTACTGTTGCTTTTGGGAGAACCAATTTCAGGGTCTTGAGAGATCTGGGTAATAATATCCTAGACCAATATGTGTCAGTTCAGAAACTTTCTTTCTGTGGCACTGGCCAAAAGGGACTCTTTTCTTTTCAGGCACTGTTGGCAGGATGATGGCCTCCCAGTGACAGTTTGGAAAGGACAAACAAGCTGACAAACAATAAGATTAGGCAGTTACCAACTAGGCAGTGAGAAGGACACAGAAAATAAGGGATGTCAAAGTGCACTAACTAATACTTGTTAACTGTATTTGGGTTTTTGATGAACAGTAGCAAGAATCAAGAGTTAGCAGAACAGCATAGGGCTGGGCCTCAGAAGTAGGTAGAGGTGCTGGGCCATACATCTATAAATGTATCCCAGATCCAGTTTTAAGAACAAAACTTGGGGTGGCTAGGTGGCGCAGTGAATAGAGCACCGGCCCTGGATTCAGGAGGACCTGAGTTCAAATCCGGCCTCAGACACAGAACACTTAGTAGCTGTGTGACCCTGGGCAAGTCACTTAACCCCATTGCCTAACCAAAAAAAAAAAAAAAAAAAAGAAGAAAAAATCTTGTTTCATTTAGGATGAAAGTGTGTAGTGGATGGCAGAGTCCTACTCCATACTCAGGCAGCTGCTGAGCTGAGAACAAGCAATACCCAAGTCAGATTCTTGAGGCAGCTTGCTGCAAACTCCCTGGGCAGAGATAAAACACAACAGTTATCCGGATGAGGGGAAATCAGGAACATTACTCCTTTGGTCATATAGGAGAGGATTAGTTTAATGACCTAAGAATCAGGAGCACCCTGTCCCTGAGCCTGTTGCTGCAAAATCTCCCTGCCTATAGGCAACCTCCACACTCCTAAGATGTGGCAACAAGAAATTTTCAGGAGTTTCTGGTTGGATGGCAAGATCTAGGGACCAACTGACTGCAAACTTTGCTGTTGAACAATAGAATCCACTCACTTAAAAGGTCCTTTCTCAAAGTACCTCAATGGAGTAGCTGTCAATCACTTCTGTGAATTCTGGTTCTGGACCCCAAAGGGAAAAATAATGAGCCCTGAAACCCAGTCATTTGTAGAGTTTATCTTTACTATACTTAACTATATTCTGGAGTTTCCAAGGTCTTATGTAAACATTTGCAGATTACCACTTAGAAAATCAATAACTCATAACATATGTTTGTGTTTAACATTCCAGTTCAAGCATTGTCTTACCATTAATCTTTTCCTTATATACAAGAACCTAGTTTATGAAGGAACACAGAGGGAGCTTGAAAGAATTGTGGTTGAAGAAAATCACCTGACTGCCAGGGAACTGTGGCCTGCAATCAGTGGATAAACCAGGCCTATCTCAGGAGAGTAGAATAGACTGAGCAGTATTTCTGTGAATTAATTTGCAGAATCATGGTAATCTTTGTCCTGATTATTGCTCCCACCCCACCCTCTTGACTGCCATATCTTGGTATAGACAGATTTTTCCAGCTCTTTACATCAACCTGTGCTTGCTTTGTTTCCGATGGGTCTTGTCTTGTCTTTTCTTTTCTTTTCTTTTTTTAATTAATAAATTTATTTCTTTTTAGTTTTCAACATTTAC